TAATTATTTTATAATATTTAATTTTATCATATATTTTAAAATTAAAATTAAAAATATAATTAATCAAAATTTTAAATTTTAAAAAATTAATTAATTTTAATTGGATCACTTCAATTGACTCAATTTGGCCCTAACTCAACCCAATAGAATTTGGGTAATTTTGATTTAAGTCATATTGGATTCCTAATTGATAGAAATAATAAAGAGAAAAAAATATAAAGATATATGAAGAAATAAACTTTTTCTTTCTTAATTTCACTGAATATATAAGGTACTTATTTATAGGCCTGTATAAGAGAATATTCTATGATACAAAATCAATTAATCTAATTATATCAATCAATTATAATGTGAATCTAATCAACATAATTATAATATGAATATTTTGTAACATTCTCCCTCAAACTCAAGGTGATGATGAGGAGACCAGCTTGAGTTTAGAAAGAAGAGTGCATCAACGTCCAGGAAAGTGAGTTTTTGGTGAAAAGATCTGCTTACTGAAATGCAGATAGGTGCAGTCGATGTTGTTGGAGGAGAAAGAAGCAATATCAGATCTGGACAACAGTAATGTTGAAAGTTTGATTGCAAGAAATCAAGAGCAAAATCAACAGAAGGAAATCAAGAGCAAAATCAACGACAATTGGATGCGAGAAGGCTGGAGCAACATTGGCCGTGAGAGTAACACGTATTTATCGATGCAACAAAGGAACAGGACCAAGAAAACCCAATGGCAAATAAGTCCAAGAAAAAAAAGTAAAGATGATGATGATCGGCACCACCTACAAGCAAAGCAGCAACTCACAAAGGAGACAAATAGTAATACTAAAAAAAGCCTCAAGCTCTGATACCATGATAAAAAAATAAAGAGAAAAAAATATAAAGATATATGAAGAAAGAAACTCTTTCTTTCTTAATTTCTTTAATTTCACTGAATATATAAGGTATTTATTTATAGGTTTGTACAAGATAATATTCTATGGTACAAAATTCAATTAACCTAATTATATCAATCAATTATAATATGAACCCAATCAACATAATTATAATATGAATATTTTATAACACTAATTGATATCTTAAACTCATACATTAATTATAATAAATGAATTGGGTTAAAATTTCAGAATAGATCTAATTTTATTAAGTTTAAGTAGACTCGTGTTAGTGGGACTATTACATGATGTTAGATAGAGAAGAGCCAACCCATAGTAATTTGTTGAGTTAGAAAGCAAAATCAAATCAGATTATCAGAGTTAGAAATTGTTTTTAAATAAAAATCTAAGAGTAAAAGTTAGAAAGGAAGAAGATAAGTTATCTTCTTCCCCACAACGCCATCGTCTTCTACCATCAGGGTTGTAGGACAACCCCAAGTATCACTCCCCAAGACATGATGGGTTATTACTCAATCACAGTCACGGGCCAACCTTATGAGTGCCAAGTCGATTCTGCTCCACAATGAAGAAGAGCATACAATTGAATAACTATTCTACACACATCCACAATTCATGTTCTACGTTATGTATAGAATTCTTTTGGGCTGACAAATATGACTTCTAAATGAGAGATCATTTGAATTAGGACATGTTCATCTGGAGAACGTAAATGAAGACGATTTCTACTTCACTTTCATCAATAGAAATTTTTTCATCAGTTTTTCAAGATCAAATTTAGAAAGGGT